GGTGGGACCCCTCCCCACCTGCCCCAGAGGGGCCCTTTGGCAGCTGGTGTGGGCACAGGGATGCTGTTGTGCATTCGGCTGCCTGTTACCCACCTCTGCTCTTACTCGTGACAGGCACAGGAGGCGAAAGATGCTGTCTGTGCCACCAGAGAGCTGGCCAAGATCTGGTCACTCTCTGGACACCGTGCCCACCTGCCCTGAGCAGGGAGGACGGGGACGGGGGGAAGAGTGGGGGGCTTGCTGAGACAGGTCCTGGGGTGCCTTTGCCCATGGCGATGGTTTGCTGGGGTGGCAGAAGGGCTGTTGCCCGAGGTGTCACCTTCGGGGACATGTGAGGCTTTTGCTGTGACATTGGTAGTCACACTGAGCTGTTGCTCCTCGGGCTGTGATGCTTTTCTCACCCCAGCTGTTGCGGGAGGATTAACCAAGTTGTGCTGGTGTCCTGATGGCTGCTCCCCTGGCAGCGCCTGGAGCCTCCTTGTCCCTGCCCTGTGCCAGGCTCGGGGGCAGTCGTGGGACCATTAGAGGGTGCCCGGATGCTCCTGCACAGCTGCGTGCAGCCGGTGTGGGTGCTGCCCTTACTGCTCTCTCCCCTCCCTAGGCGGGCCCTGGAACTTCGCCTTCACCGTGAAGTTCTACCCTCCGGACCCTGCCCAGCTCACGGAGGACATCACAAGGTGAGGACCACCCCTCCGTGGGTCCAGCTGCCGGGGCAGCTCCCAGGGGACTGGCTGGGAGCATGCAGAGGGGCTCTGCAGGGCACGCGTCTCTGCCCCGCTCTCACCCTGTGCCCCCTCCCGCAGATACTACCTGTGCCTGCAGCTCCGTGCGGACATCATCACGGGGCGCCTGCCCTGCTCCTTCGTCACGCACGCCCTGCTGGGCTCCTACGCCGTGCAGGCCGAGCTGGGCGACTATGATGCCGAGGAACACGTGGGCAACTACGTCAGCGAGCTCCGCTTCGCGCCCAACCAGACGCGAGAGCTGGAGGAGCGCATCATGGAGTTGCACAAGACCTACCGGTGAGCCCCAGGAGAGGACGGGCTGGTGGTGAGGAAGGCACCAGACAGCTGGCCCATGTCCGGTGGGGCACCCGGCCACGTGTCCCCCTCTCTGTCTCCCTGCAGGGGAATGACCCCCGGCGAAGCAGAGATCCACTTCCTGGAGAACGCCAAGAAGCTCTCCATGTACGGGGTGGACCTGCACCATGCCAAGGTATGGGGCCAAAGGGCTGCCAGAGCGGTGGCTGGTGCCACCCCATCCTGCCCCGCTGCCCACACAGCCCTCCCTGCCCAGCCCGTTCCTCCCACAGTGAAGGTTCAACACGGACACACGGTCCTGGGCAGCCGGCTCTGGGTTGCCCTGCGCTGGACCAGAGGACCTCCAGAGATCTGACCTCGACCGGTCTGTGGTTTAGTGACCTCTCTGTCAGCTGGTCCCCTGTGGCAGAGCACCGAGCAGGAGGGAGCTGGGCACTGCTGGTTGGACTGGTTCTTACTGGGCAGCTGAGCAGTCCCCTCCTGTCCCTCTTGCCTCCTCCAGGACTCGGAGGGCATCGACATCATGCTGGGCGTCTGCGCCAACGGCCTCCTCATCTACAGGGACCGGCTGAGGATCAACCGCTTCGCCTGGCCCAAGATCCTCAAAATCTCCTACAAGAGGAGCAACTTCTACATCAAGATCCGGCCGGGTGAGGTGGGTGCCACGAACCCGTGCAGCCCCGGGGCACGGTGGTGCCTGCTCTGCTGGGCTGGGGCTGCCTGGCAGGGGGTCCTCGCCTGGCTCCAGCCTCTGCCCCGAGGGTCCCGTGTTAATGACCACGCTGGCCAACAGAGCAGGTCT